ATAGTTCCTGTATCAAATGAAGGCCCGCCTTCTGAAATACTAAATGTGCTGTGATTGGTTAGCTGGGCCAGTGTGTGTTGTGATTGGCAGCACTCAGCGCCTGGTCGGGAAATGTTATGCCCCTTACCACTGCGAGCTTCAGTGTAAATATTGCGTTAATATCAAATTAATTTGAGCACGATTTAAACCCGGATGATTTTAAACACTCTTAAGTTCATCTTCCTTGTGAAATCTAGCGTGTCTCCGACATAGTGATAACACTCGTTGCCTTCTCTAGTACAGCTCAGCCAGGTCTCGTCCCATTCGTCGATATTTGTGATATCACAAATCCTGGAAAATATGCGTTGTAGTCCAAACGAGTCGTTCGTTGTAGTTTTTGAAATGTGATTTCTGTTCAATAAAATATCTCCTTTTGAAGTGAACTTTGAGCTTTGTAACTTTGCAGATCTTTTTTATGCTCAAACAGCAACATTACAGACTAACTAAAGTTGAAAAAGTGAAAATGCATAATAGGACCCCTTTAAAAAACCCATAAAGCTTTGTAACTTTTAAAAACAGTAAAGGGAGTTGTTTTCAGTCCAGTGCTGAGATGTGTGATTCAAAAATGACCTCATCATCCCGATAAACCAGGAACTGCTGAAGATGAGAGGAGAAGGCGGGAGGCAGGGAAAGGCATAGGTGGAGGCGTGTGACTACAGCTCTAGTGCAGCCAAGTAGGAAGGAAGTGAAGAGAAGGCTGGAAGATTAAAAAGGGAGGCCATGATGAGAACAAGAGGGATAGAGAGGTGACCGAGGGATGGGATGGAAGGGAGGGAAAGAAGGGAAAGAAGAGGAGGTTTAACAGCTGAATGCACACTCAGAGGGGTTAGAGGCACCCAGACTGCGGTCAGCTCCGCTCTGAATGGCGGCAGGAACAATGGGCCTTCTCATGGAGCCTGTCTGCTCTGCTCTGTGGTGGGCAAACCATTCAACTGCCTGATGCCTCGGCCCTCTTATTCTCTTTGGGAAAGTGTGAGGGGAGTTTATGAGTAGAGAGTTGGGTGCGCTGTGACCAGCAGCTGCCGCTCCCTCATTAGCATGTGCACCTGCTCCCTGAGGCCTTTCTGGAAGGCCGACACAGGCCCTCGTTGCATTATTCCAGCTCATAACTGCACACAGCGATGCGTTGTCTGGGTTAAATCGGCCTGATTTTTCTGTATCAGATCTCAATTCGCAAGATACAAGAGCTTGATAAACAGTGAAACCTACTTTGAAAACCCATAACTTCCTCTCTAGTCCAAAACCATTTATTAAAACCAAGCTGTAAAAGACTTGGAGAAAAATAACAATATCATGAGAGAACAAATAAGATATGTCATAAATTAATTCTGCCAAATTATAAAATATATATATATATATATTTATAAGAAATTATAAAAGTTATAAATGAAAGAAGCAGAACATTCAGTTTATACAACACATTCTGCCATTTATGCAGCACATTCAATGCAGACTATTTTATGTACAGTATCTGTCATTTGGCAAAGAGGCTTTTATGGAAGGATGGGGAAGTCAAACTCCATTAAAGTCAGTGCTGGGCAGTAACTGATTACATGTAATCCAGATTATGCAATCAGATTCCAAAATTACTTAGAATATATTACATTTTAAAATGCTTATAATTAGATTACTGTTACTTTTTATAGATTACATGATTACATATATTCATACATTATTTCGTTCTAAAATGTTTTCATGAGATTTTAAGTAAATATTTCAGTAATTTAACACGTTTCCATGTTCACGGTTATCTGATGTCAGTTAATGGTCACACTGACATGCAGGTCAACAAATAAAATGTTTCTATTTCTAATGTTCAAGTATTGTTTTGATTTAAAATGTATTAATTTTTTTATTGTAAGTGATTCATTTGCTTTTCATCAGTTCCCAAACCCCCTGCTGTTCCTTCACAAACCCCAGTCTGGGAAACTGTTTAATGCACTTAATGTTGTTGATAATAAAAATCAAATATATTTTCTTTTTCTTTCTCTTTCTATTTTTAATATTAATATGGTGCAAAATATTCCAATTCAAAACTATGTGATAAACCAATTAGGTCAAAAGTAATCTGAAAGTAATCAAAAAGTAGACCGAATAATTAACTTAAAATGTGTACTACTCTAATAGATTAGGTTACTAACTACAATTTTCATGATAATGTGCAATCTATAATGGACTACAATTTGTAAGTAATGTAGCCAGCACTGATTATAGTTAACAGCAATATAGTCTTCTTAAAATCTGCCCCTTTCTTACAGTCGACTGCATGCTTCATATCTGCCTCCATCCTGTCCTATGTTTTTTTGGCGCAAAAATGTAATAAAGGGACCCCAGTGAAGAAAATTAAACAATAAAAATGTATGCTATGACCCTTTAATGTGAATAGCTTTTTCACAGGCTGGAAGCCTTTTCTCTTCTATTGAACTCTTTTACAACTTCAAGATTTGTGACGCTTACATAACTTTAGAGTTTGTTGTTGTGCTGGTGATGCGTAAGATGTTTGTGTAGTTGTTGTAATAATCACAAAAACCTAAACGAACCTCCAGAAATATGCCGGAGTGGCCATAGGACAATGGGAGGAAAGGTAGCATTGTGGGCAGCAGTGCAGTTCCCACCATGCACTTAATGGTTTTGTCGTGCTTGGTTCTCAGTCCCCTGTGTTTTCTTTTCTTGGTTGAAGTTATTGGCCATCCTAATCCTGGGAGAGACACAGTAAAAACATCCAACCCACCGAGGGGGGCCCTGTTTGGATCAGAGAACAGTGCACTGGGAATTTGTTGAGATATTCCGGCCCCCTCCCCCAAGGCCAAAAACATGGCTTCGGTATTCCAGAGGCTCTGGATGGTTTAGCTTTTTGCAAAAGGTTATTTCAGCATAGTCATGTCGAGGGAGGGCCCCTTTTGTGTCGCTGAGTAAAATCGGCAAAAAGATTACTTTCAAGCCAAACCTGTTATGAAGTCTGTACAGCTCTTTTACAAAGTTTTCGCTGTGCCGTCTCTGTATTCCCAAGGTCCTGATTGATGCTGCAGAGACTCTGTACTGTAGAAGAATAGCAGGCATTGAGGTGGAGGAAGACAGCTTTGAAGTCCTGATAATGTTAGGCCTGGGTTCAAAGACCTTTGTATAGACCCTGCCTTGTCTTTGGAGTGAATGAATTCACATTCATTCAGAAAGGCTGAGGTGCTCGAATTTTCCCCTAAGAGCCGTTGATGGATGGCTGACTTTCATAAATCCATTTGAAACAGGATTACACCTGTGAACCACAATCTAAATCTTAAACATTCAGAAAAGCACAATATAGTTTATATATATATATTTTTTCAAATTACAATAAAAGGTGTATTTCTTGCACTTTTGGCTTTGCTGTGTGTATGTCTGTGTTTCTCAGGCAAACATTATATGTAAGGATGCATGATATTGAAATTCTGGCCAATACAGATAAGGTGATATTTTCATGTTATGGCTGATAACCGATAAATGGCCAATATTAAAATTACATACTAGTTTATCTGAATAATTAAAAAATAAAATGCTAAAAACTAACATCAATCATTATTAATGTTACAAGTGAATTTTTAGGCATCACAACATTAATTCATTTTAAAACTGTTATTAAATTATTGCAGTTTTTAAAAGGGAAATTTAGGTGTTAGGCAAAGATAATCTACATGTAAAATTAAGTGCAGAAATAATGAGCCAGCATTTTTTTAATATTTCAAAAAACTGATATGTTACCTATATTACATATTCGTAATTATACAATGGTTCAGTCATGCACTTTTGCAATGTAATTTTGCTATTGTAAAACTAAAGCCAGTGAGGCTGTTCATACAGAACCCGTTTTTGCATTCCACTGTGATGCTTTTCCATTGTTTTTCTATGTAAACATGCACTATATGGACATTTGACTGTTGAATTTGTGTCTTTTGCAGCATCCCGCACGTGACAGCTAAGTTAACACAGTGTTCAAATAAGTTTTCAAAAACGTGTGTCTGGACCATAGACTGTAAAAAAACATGGACGTAGTGTCCGTGACGTCACCCGTAGGTTTCTGAAGAGCATTTTTGAAGCTCAAAGTGTGCAGAGACGACCGTCGCCATCTTGTCAGCGCGTCACCATGCGTCACTCCCGGATAATCGAAAATGGGCTAAAAGGCAGAACGTGGGTGGAGCTGATTGCTGAAACCACGCCCGCCTTGCACAACAGTGGTGACATCAGCGGCAATCCACCTGTCACTCAAGTGGCCACACCCTTAATTATGCAGAACTTTAAGGCTTAATATAATTTAAACGGATGAGTTATAAAAAAATTCACCCCCCTCACAGTTGTCATAAAGGGCAAAATTAGCTATATAGACCAAAACCACTTTTTGTACCAGGCTGTAAACACATTTTTTTCTGCTGTAAAGTTGGGCATTTTAACATGGAAAGTCTATGGGACTGGCTCCCTTTCTAGTGGCCAGTTGATGAATTGCAGTTTAAGTCACTTCTGTGTTGGTTTCAAGAGAGAGACTGAAAGGTTGCCGCTTGGTCTGGACCTTGTTTTTCCATTCCACTACCCTCCATCTCAAACTCTCGAACACATTCAGTGTCAAACACTGTTTTGTGTAATAGTTTTGCCGTTAAAATGCTTTCTCCTATGCCAGCTTTTTATGCAGCTATTAACAAGCGGTTTGTAGGCTAATTTCGACAAAAAAAGAAAAGACTGACACTTTCTCCATTTGTATGAGCAACAAGTCCGACACAGTAACATTACTAGTTACTGTTTGTTAAGAGAAGTTGAAAACCTAATTATAATGCAGTGGTTTCATTACAGTCCAGCTACCTCGATTTATACTGACATTTTATCCAGTACTAGGCTAATGCCATTGGAAGTGGCTTTATGACTATGAAGTGTAAATCATATACTGAGTGCAGTATATACAGTACTAATTCCCCCTGTGCTTGCTTCCCACTCTACAGGTGTCCTGAGCCGTTTGCCGGCACAGCGTGCCAGTTCCGCAACCCTTGCTTCCAGTCCCCGTGCAGAAATGGCGGCGTGTGCCATTTGATTACTTCTGTCAACAAGGTGGACTTTGTGTGCAACTGCAGCCTGGGCTACTCGGACCGACTGTGTCTCACTCCCACCAATAATGTGTGCCTTAGCTCCCCGTGCCGAAACGGAGGCACGTGTGAACTCACCAGCATCCACACTTACAAGTGTAAATGCCCACCAGGCTGGTCAGGTAAGACCACAATCCAGTTAGAAATGACGTATATGAGGAGAATGAACTAACATCTCAAATCCAGACAGTGGTGAGCATATTCTGACCTTAAAACGCTCTTTATCACTAGGTAAGAACTGCCATCAAGCTGATCCTTGTGCCTCAAATCCTTGTGCCAATGGCGGTAAGTGTAGTCCCTTTGATTCCGACTACATCTGCCACTGCACGCCCTTCTTCTCAGGCCAAACCTGCAAGCAAGACATCAACGAGTGTGCCCAGAGTCCCTCTCCTTGCAAGAATGGTGGCGTGTGTGAGAACGAGGTGGGCACGTATCGCTGCAACTGCCCTGCAGAGTACACTGGGAGACATTGCGAGACCCTCTATCAGCCCTGTAACCCTTCACCATGCTACCACGGAGGCACTTGCGTCCAGAAGGGAGAGACGAGCTACGAGTGCTCGTGCTTGCCAGGTAGGCATCCTTAGCCTGTTAACCTGCAGGACAAAGTCCTGAAACTTTCTTTCTTTACATTAGTTTAAATTACTGTTAGTTATAAAGTAAAACCATTTCCATTATCAACAAACACCATTACCATTACCATTAGTTACACTGAACTCCTCATGCTGCACCCAAACTAGCAAAGCAAAGGAACTAGTAATGTAAGGAACTAGTAAAAGTTTCTTTCTGACTAACAAAATAATGTCTACTGAATGGAAGTAATAATGGAATTAAGTCTTGTATAAACCATGTATTTAATAAAATTATTTCTTTGTTTTGATGCTTATTAGGGCAATATAGCTAAACAAATATATATTAAAATTGCTCAGTCTTTTGATGATATTGATTTTCTCAATGTTTCATATGTTGTGATAGTTGCTCATGAGTCCCTTGTTTGTCCTGAACAGTTAAAATGCCCGCTGTTCCTCAGAAAAATCCTTCAAGTCCCACAGTTTCTTTGGTTTTCCAGCATCTTTTGCATATTTGAACCCTTTCCAACAATGACTGTATGACTGAAATTGACCGTTTGAACTGATTCATGGAAATGAATAAAACCTACCAGATCTAATACAGTTTGGATCAAGACAAAAAGCATGAAATCGAGCTAATGAAAAACATTCAAATCAACACAATATTTGTAATGTTGCCATACTTTAGCCAGCTTAATCACCATGAATATGTGGATATTTGATATATTGCCTAGGTTTAAAAGTGATTATGTTCTTTGCTGACTTGTTCTAACATATGTGACCCTGGACCACAAAACCAGTCATAAGGGTCAATTTTTTTCGAAATTGAGATTTATACATCATCTGAAAGCTAGATGGTAGGACAATATTTGGCTGAGATACAACTATTTGAAAATCTGGAATCTGAGGGTGCAAAAAAAATTAACATTTTGAGAAAATCACCTTTAAAGTTGTCCAAATGAAGTTCTTAGCAATGCATATTACTAATCAAAAATTAAGTTTTGATATATATTTACAGTAGTAAATGTACAAAATATCTTCATGGAACATGATCTTTACTTAATGTCCTAATGATTTTAGCATAAAAGAAAAATCAGGGATTTTGACCCGTACAATGTATTGTTGGCTATTGCTACAAATATACCCCAGCGACTTAAGACTGGTTTTGTGCTCCAGGGTCACATATACCCTTTCCTGGCTTAAGAGCTGTTTACCATGCTTACAATTCAAAGACTTGTCTTAAATACCCCTCATGATTATGGGGTACACGGCTTGAATCTTGAATCTTTTTAATCATGATGAGGGCTTTAACTGACATCAGTTATGTAACAATGAATTCATTAAATGACGGATCAATGGCAGCCTCTTAACTTTGATCATTCAGAGGAAATCCACTCAGCTTATTTTGACTCACAAGTGTCCTGTTGACGACATCTGTTCCAGCGGTAAGACAAATTATATCGGCCTTCTATCCGGGTCAACACTGAAGGTAGAGATTTCAGATGACTGAGATGCTCAGTGAGTTTGCAATAACAATGCAGTGTCAGTGTTTCCCATAACTTTGGAACATGGGATAGGCTACCTCTCCCAGCATGCCCTTCTCTCAGCCTCATTCAAACCCGGCTTAGTCATAGTATCTGCACTCCCTCTGCAGCTCTGTCTGCATGTGTGTGTGTGAACAGGCCAGCAGGACAATATCTGCGCTTATCATGAGGAAATGTCTGAACGACAACATCCTTATGCTGGTGTCCCTGGGTTAGAGTCAGTGTCTGTGAGAATGAGAATGAAAATGCCTGTGTGTGTTCGCTTTCCATTACTACTTTGGACACATTAAAAAGGGGATCTCATATCATGTCAGACAACATATAACCTAAACCTCAGCGTTGAGGAAACATCACTGAAATTACTTCTTCTTTTATTCCATGCATTCGTGGGTTTTGAAGGAAGAATTCATTTTATATGATGTGATCAGTTCTGAAATATACCATAAATTAAGCTTTAGCGTTAGTTCTGGCAGGTCACGTGAGTCAAGCTTGCATCAGCTGATTCTCAGCTGATCACATCTACCTATAGGAATACGACACCTATCGCGGCATTCCTATATAAGCTGTATTCAGTATTATTCAGCAGCTTTTTAGCTTGCTTCGGAGCAAATTACCCTCCTCCATCCCCAGCTCCACCTTTCGCCACAGTCAGGACTTAGCTTTCTGATATTCCTTGCTAATCAGACTCCTTTATCTTGAATAAAGTGTTACACTTAAATATCATTGAGTACATTAATGATATCTGCATTCTGTTCTGTTAACCCTAGGGGGGTTATTATTGCTGCTCTCCCTGCTCATTCATGACAGGCTGCATGGATGGGCAGGGAGGTTTTTTGCCCAGAACAGAACCATACCGCCAAACCAAACTTTATGCTAAGTATCTATCATTCTGACGATAGTGGTCCTGACAGAACTACACGTTTTGGAGTTAAATTGTAGGAAATTGTGGTTAGAGTCAGTTGAGTCGTTGTCGTTGGTGCCTCTAACAGAATCCTGGTACTGCTAGTCTTCTCAGAAAAGGAAGACTGTTGACCGCAACAACAGTAACGTCTGTTTTCGAATGTTTCACATCATTTTATCTCTCTATTTGTACTGAGAAACAATCAAATTTGCATGTTTGTATTAAAGGATCTGTGCAGTGCAATCTGATATAAATATTTAGTTCTTTGTAAGGAAACATGAATTCTGTCAGCAAACAGTTGCTCAAATATTTATCCTTGTCTAGAATGTTTGACATTATGGGGGTATGTATTAACTGCTGATTTTTATTTCACACTGCTCAAAAGATACAGGCTATGTTCACGTTTTTTGGAATGATAACATGAACAGCAAAAATCACTTTGTGGAAATAAATTGGACAGGTACACTACCATTCAAAGTTTGGGTTCAGTAAGATTTTCAAATACGTTTTTGAAAGAAGTCTCTTATACTCAGCAAGGCTGTATTTATTTGATCAAAAATACGGTAAAAAATAATATTGTGAAATATTATTACAATTTAAATTAACTCTTTTCTATTTCAATATATTTTAAAATGTGATGGCAAAGCTGAATTTTCAGCATCATTACTCCAGTCTGCAGTGTCACGTGATCCTTCAGAAATCACTCTAATATGCTGAATTGGGGCTTCTCTTATTATTATCAATTTTATCAATGTTGAAAACAACTGTGCTGCTTGATATTTGTGGGAACCGTAAGATATTTCTTGCAGGAATCTTAGATGAATAGAAAGTTAAAAAGAAAAGCATTTATTTGAATTATACATTTTTGTAACAATGTAAAAGCCTTTACTGTCACTTTTGATCAGTTTAATGCATACTTGCTGAATGAAAGTATTAATTTCTAAAAAAAAAAAAATTGTATATAGATCAGTTTTTATGAGTATCACCTTGAACAGGCAGTGTGTGAAATGGGTATGTGAACAATGTTGTCAGTTCTGGCTTTTAAATCTATATGTTTTAAGAAATTTTTTGATGAAACTGCTTATTTCTTTTCAGGATTTAGTGGTCAGAACTGTGAGGAGAACATTGATGACTGTCCAGACCATCGCTGCCTTAATGGAGGGACCTGTGTGGATGGAGTGAACACCTACAATTGCCAATGCAAGCCAGAGTGGACAGGTACCAACTGCCTACTCAAACCCCACACTTCACTTACAGTTACAAAGAAAGACATTTTTTAATCAGTAAGACTAACTAGGCTTCAATAGGTAGAATCTCTTTTTATTGCCATTTCATCTGTTTCGAAATGTGGTGAAATGAATGCCTATATATATTAATTCCTCAGGTCAGTTCTGTACCGAAGACGTCAACGAGTGCGATTTGATGCCCAATTCCTGCCAGAATGGTGGTACATGCTTGAATACACAGGGTGGATACAACTGTGTGTGTGTGAACGGCTGGACAGGGGACGACTGCAGTGAGAACATCGATGACTGCGCAGATGCAGCCTGCCACGTAGGAGCCACATGTCATGATCGGGTGGCCTCCTTCCTGTGTGAATGCCCTCATGGGCGCACAGGTGTGCATTTTTCTCTCTCTCATGAATCAAATGCATCATAGTTTGAGGCACTCATTCTGTTATTTGAGCATTCGGTTTTTTGTGAGTTTCGTTCAAATCCACTGAAAAGAAGCCAAAAGTTGGGGTGGGACATATTAATTTGCTTGTTTTTTTAATCTGCTAAAATGTATTTATTATTTAGGAGTACACTTGCAAATATATCATATAAAGTTAGTATCTATGAACTAAGTGGCATAAATCATCTGCTTTGATTTCACAGGGTCTTTCAAATCTGCCATACTGTTTAAAAAGAAGACATTCACCAAGGTTTAATGGCAAAATCCCGCACAAGCTAATTCTCACTGTGTGTCTCTGTGATTTAGGTCTGTTGTGTCACCTGGATGATGCTTGCATTAGTAACCCATGTCAGAAAGGCTCCAACTGTGACACCAATCCAGTCAACGGCAAGGCCATCTGTACCTGTCCTCTGGGTTACGTTGGTCCAGCCTGTGACCAAGATGTTGACGAATGCTCGCTGGGTAAGGAATGGCTGTTTATTGTATCTGTAAACCTTATTGGTGGTGCTTGATAAGCACACTAGTGACTTTGCACATTAGTCATATTTAAAAATGTAGTTATTACAATGGAATATTTTAAGTGTAAATGTTTAAAGGGTGTTTTTTGTTCACCTCTTTTAGGTGCAAACCCTTGCGAACATGCTGGAAAGTGTATAAACACAAAAGGTTCCTTCCAGTGTAAATGTCTGCAGGGATATGTAGGAGCTCGATGTGAACTGGACATAAACGAGTGCATGTCCAACCCATGCCAGAATGACGCTACCTGTTTGGATCAAATCGGAGGCTTCCATTGCATCTGTATGCAAGGTAACCAAAAGATCGGCTGCATTTGGTTTAGGACACAGCCTGTGTCTAAATGCTCTCTATATATTACCCCATGCTGATGTCATTACCTCACATGACCAACCTGTGATCCAATAAATTGCTTCTGTTGGCTGTAAAACTAATGATACAGATGTCTGACTTTATGAAGTTAATATATTCTGTTTATTATACACAAAAGAAGCACTAGTAACATTGTTAAGACGTGCTGAATTTTCTCGCTAAGTCTGGAGCTTATTTCCCTATGTTAATTGGCAGGGTACGAGGGAGTCTTCTGTCAGATCAATACTGATGAGTGCGCCAGCATGCCCTGCCTCAACAATGGGAAGTGCATCGACAAGATCAACAACTACCAATGCGAGTGCCCCACAGGTGAGCATGCAGGGGTCAATCACCTCCCAGGACAGAACAGAGTGGAGAACAATAATCCCTGCCCTGAGGCAGGTTTACACAGCCCTGGCTAAAATGCTCAGAATAATCCATATGAAAGCTTCTGGAAAGTTAGACAGTTTTTGCTTGAATAAGATGATGTATATCAGCTATGCACAGCAAAAACCTGCTTATGGTATTTATAGTGTTTTCATATAACAGTTAGTGTTTTTTACCGAAAAAAATATATATTTTTCTAGTGCACAATTTCTGTTCAACTATTTTTAATATACATATTTATACAATTTATATTTTTAAATTAATTTAAATAATTTGATAATTCATTAACGTTTATTCATTATCATGTTTCAGTTTTTACATAAAATATTGTTCATAGTAGATATCTAACATTTTTTAAAATTATTATCCCACATTGTAAGAATACTTTTTGGCCCTACTTTGAGCTTTTGTCCAGTACCAATGACGTGAAACTAATTTTGCTGATAATCTAGGTTTGTGAAAAAGGCTCTTCTTGTAGAAAAACAGCACATCAACATTAATTTAGGATGCAGAAGGATTCATGCATAAATGAAAGGGGGTAGAGCAGAGGTACAATATTAGGCATGATGAGGTTGCGCAAGGAAAGGGGCCTACGGGGACCTCCAAGAGTGGTGTAAAGGAGTTTTGGAAGGTGGTAAGCTGAAGAAGTGGAAGCTAGGCCCCTTCACTGTTTCAGATGGAAATCAGAGCTCCTTTTCAGCATGCGTCGCAGGGATCCTTTTCAGTAGTGTACACACTGAATCCATAGCAACCACAATGGGTGCTTTTTGAAATGTGGCATTTTAGAGGCTCGGAAGAAATTCCTATTCTGAAGATGCATGGGACAGATCTTGATTACCAATGCCGAGGGGGTCTTAGGGAATGGCATAAGCAAGTTAAGAATTTGTTATCAGGATTATCATTATAATAATACAAGATGTGTTATTACTTTTCTAAGTGATCAGACGTAATGATTCTAACCTGGCGGATGATAAAAAGGCCAGATAAATCCAACAGATTTACACTAAAGCCATATCTACAGACCAGAAAAGCAGAGTGACTTCAGGTGGGCTATGAAAACCACCCTAAAACAAAGTAGCAACCACCAACTGTAGCAACACTCTAACAACATCTTAAGAACTGCATAGCAACATTTTTCTTCAAAACATCTAGTTGTTTTATTGTTGCTTTAACTGTGATGAATATCCCATAAGTTTCCACACTGATAGATTTGTAGCTCTTAATGTGTTCAGACTGTATATTTGAAAAGCAGACATCTTTAGCGAGGGATTAAAATAACTGAGGGAGAAAGCACAAATGTTGGGGGTTCCTGAGCGATGGGATTGCTGAATAGCATGAGGTCAGGGGTTGCATGGGGCTCTTTTGGTGAGACAGACTCAGAGAGGGGGGCAGAGGCTGGATGGGAGAATGCACATTGTGATGGAAAACTTCTACGGGACAAAGGAGGCAACCGCCATGGCTTGGCGTGCCACTGAATAGACAGTTCCTCTTTGTCTGGTGCCCTTGGTCAGAAGGACTTGGAAGGTTTTTACCGCAAATTTACACTCTTCTCCCCCTCTCACTGTGATGGTTTGTTGAAAAGCAGCTTGAAAACTTGAGAGAGAGGGGTAAAGCTTGCTGCCAACTATTAATGAACGCTGGCCATGTTGTACAGACGAGTGTGGAGGAATGAAGCGGGTGCAAACCAGAGGAATCTTTGTATTGACCCCCTCCCCTTTCCTCTCGTCTCCCTCTCAGGATTCTCGGGTAGCCAGTGCCAGTTCGACATCGACGAGTGCGCTAGCACCCCCTGTAAAAATGGGGCCAAGTGTATTGATGGGCCCAACATGTACACCTGTCAGTGCTCTGAAGGTATGAAAACGCTGTCTGCTTGATTCAGCTTTTAAAAGTGATAAAAAATTATAAATACATAAAACATTTTATTTCCATTGTGAATAAACATTTTTGCACCTCTAAAATATTTATTTGGCTATAAATTTTTTTCTGAGTCATGGAAAAAACATGGAAATTCCAGGGCCTCAATGTGAGGAAACACTGTGCCATAATAAATATAATAAATGATTCTGTTTTCCTTTATAGGATACACAGGGCAGCACTGTGAAACAGATGTAGATGAGTGTCTATCCAACCCATGTCACTATGGCACCTGTAAAGATGGCCTGGCATCCTTCACCTGTTTATGTCGTGGGGGTTTTATGGGCCGTCTGTGTGAGATCAACATTAATGAGTGTCTCAGTCAGCCATGCCAAAATGGAGGCACCTGCCAGGACCGTGAGAATGCCTACTTATGCATCTGCCCTAAAGGAACCACAGGTGCTACTTTTACAGTAATGGCAAGAAATGTAAACTCCTGCTTGTCAAAAGCTCTTCTGGTCATTTACTTTACTTCCATGTTGTGTTAACAGGTGCTAACTGTGAGGTTAACCTAGACGACTGTCAAAGCAATCCCTGCGATTTTGGAAGATGCATTGACAAGATAAATGGCTATGAGTGTGCCTGTGAACCGGGATACACAGGTGAGTGTTCTTAGATCTTGTGCCTCATACGTCGATAAATGGCAACTGCGCTAAAATATAAAATAGTCTCATTCATTTGAAATGAGGGTTTAATTGAATAGTTCACCCAGCAAAGAAAATTTGGTCATCATTTCCTCACCTTCTTGTCATTCCAAACCCGTATGCTATTCATTTTTCAAGATCTTCACAAGATAAAATCTTTACAAATATATTTTCCATACAACAACAGTTAATGGTGGCCATGGGATGTCAAGCTTCAGAAAGGTCTATAAAATATAAAATGACTAGAAAAAGTGGACAAGTGTGAAAAACAGACTGAAATTTACATCATTATTCACTGATAATCTTCACTTCCATTGCAGCTGTAAATGTTTTTTTGTTTGTTTGTGTGTGTGTGTTTTGTGTATGTGGTTTTTGGCATAAATAGCTAACGATTACAAATCACAGTAGTTACAATTAAAGAAAGAGATATATGTGTAAAACTGCTAATTCTGATGTTTATGTATCGCCTACTAATAGAGAAAAAACAAATGAGATCAAAAAAATCTCAATATTTTCTTACAGACAGCAATGAGATTATAAAGGTGATTTTATGCAATATACATGAATTGTGCCTATTTTTTTTTATCATTTAAGCACAAACCCCACCCCACAGCCATTTTTATTTTGATCAACTCAGTCACCTGCCAAGAAAAGCCCAGACTTTATGGATTCGGGTTAGAGTTCAGAAATATCACATTTGGATCCGATCGGGACAAACAGTAATGCTGGCTATAAGGATGTGCTACCAAGATCTATTCCGCCAAGACCAAATACATTAACATAATCATGTACATTACCATGCCAATCCCTCCAAGAGTTGTCATGACAGAACTATGATAAATGTCCAATAAATCTCCACACTGATGGATTTGTAGCCCTTAATGTGTTCAGACTGTATATTTGAACAGCAGACATCTTTAGCGAGGGATTAAAATAACTGAGGGAGAAAGCACAAATGTTGGGGGTTCCTGAGCAATGGGGTTGCTGAATAGCATGAGGTCAGGGGTTGCGTGGGGCACTTTTGGTGAGACAGACTCAGAGAGGGGGGCAAAGGCTGGATGGGAGAATGCACATTGTGATGGAAAACTTCTACGGGACAAAGGAGGCAACCGGCATGGCTTGGTGTGCCACTGAATAGACAGTTCCTCTTTGTCTGGTGCCCTTGGTCAGAAGGACTTGGAAGGTTTTTACCGCAAATTTACACTCTTCTCCCCCTCTCACTGTGATGGTTTGTTGAAAAGCAGCTTGAAAACCTGAGAGAAAGGGGGAAAGCTTACAGCCGAGTATTAATGAACGCTGGCCATGTTGTATACGAGTGTGGAGGAAGTGGGTGCAAACCAGAGGAATCTTTGTATTGACCTTCCTCCCCTTTCCTCTCGTCTCCCTCTCAGGATTCTCGGGGAGTCAGTGCCAGTTCGACATCGATGAGTGCGCTAGCACCCCCTGTAAAAATGGGGCCAAGTGTATCGATGGGCCCAACATGTACACCTGCCAGTGCGCTGAAGGTATGAAGACGCCGTCTGCTTGATTCAGCTTTAAAAAAGTCATAAAAATACATAAAACATATTTCTGTTGTGATTATACATTTTTACAGCTCTAAAATATTTATTTGGCTATAAATGTATCTCTGAGTCATGGAAAAACATGGAAATTCCAGGGCATAAATGTGAGGAAATGTGTGTCATAATAAATAGAATAAATTAATATGTTTTCCTTTTTAGGATACACAGGGCAGCATTGTGAAACAGATGTAGATGAGTGTCTATCCAACCCATGTCACTATGGCACCTGTAAAGATGGCCTGGCATCCTTCACCTGTTTATGTCGTGGGGGTTTTATGGGCCGTCTGTGTGAGATCAACATTAATGAGTGTCTCAGTCAGCCATGCCAAAATGGAGGCACCTGCCAGGACCGTGAGAATGCCTACTTATGCATCTGCCCTAAAGGAACCACAGGTGCTACTTTTACAGTAATGGCAAGAAATGTAAACTCCTGCTTGTCAAAAGCTCTTCTGGTCATTTACTTTACTTCCATGTTGTGTTAACAGGTGCTAACTGTGAGGTTAACCTAGACGACTGTCAAAGCAATCCCTGCGATTTTGGAAGATGCATTGACAAGATAAATGGCTATGAGTGTGCCTGTGAACCGGGATACACAGGTGAGTGTTCTTAGATCTTGTGCCTCATACGTCGATAAATGGCAACTGCGCTAAAATATAAAATAGTCTCATTCATTTGAAATGAGGGTTTAATTGAATAGTTCACCCAGCAAAGAAAATTTGGTCATCATTTCCTCACCTTCTTGTCATTCCAAACCCGTATGCTATTCATTTTTCAAGATCTTCACAAGATAAAATCTTTACAAATATATTTTCCATACAACAACAGTTAATGGTGGCCATGGGATGTCAAGCTTCAGAAAGGTCTATAAAATATAAAATGACTAGAAAAAGTGGACAAGTGTGAAAAACAGACTGAAATTTACATCATTATTCACTGATAATCTTCACTTCCATTGCAGCTGTAAATGTTTTTTTGTTTGTTTGTGTGTGTGTGTTTTGTGTATGTGGTTTTTGGCATAAATAGCTAACGATTACAAATCACAGTAGTTACAATTAAAGAAAGAGATATATGTGTAAAACTGCTAATTCTGATGTTTATGTATCGCCTACTAATAGAGAAAAAACAAATGAGATCAAAAAAATCTCAATATTTTCTTACAGACAGCAATGAGATTATAAAGGTGATTTTATGCAATATACATGAATTGTGCCTATTTTTTTTTTATCATTTAAGCACAAACCCCACCCCACAGCCATTTTTATTTTGATCAACTCAGTCACCTGCCAAGAAAAGCCCAGACTTTATGGATTCGGGTTAGAGTTCAGAAATATCACATTTGGATCCGATCGGGACAAACAGTAATGCTGTCTATAAGGATGTGCTACCAACTTTACACTGAGGTTAAGGTTAGGGCTAAGGATTAGTATTAATTTCAGGGTTGTGTAAACAATAAACACAGTGACTGACCAGACCAGGTTTGCGCTTAACTGGTTTAAGAACACCTGTTTTTCAGACAATCATCTGATGTGTCTTGGGAGGGCATGGCTTTGGAGAGTGGATGTGGGGTCTAGCATGAAGTCTTGCATAGGTTAGCAAATGAAAAGAGCAAATGGAGAGGTTTGCTAAATTATTTGTTCTCAATTCTTCTACGTGTCTCCTCTAGAATGTTTAGAAGCGATTTAAACAATGTCTCAAACTGTGCTCTGATTTGCCAAGATACCAAAAACATTTCAATAAGAATTCAAAAATATATATTTTTCCATGACTATACTAACCATATTCATTGCATAACTCTTACTGCATGTCAAAGTTGATACTTAAATGAAACATACTCCACTAAGTCATTTAAGCTTTGGAAAAGCCACTGCGTATGTGGTTTTATTAAGGCAGTCTAGGTGGTATACTGAGCTCAGGTCTTTATCAATGTAGAAGAGATGGGGAGTCAACAAAGAGTTCAGCAGGTGAGACAGGCAACAAAGCAGGGTGGGGAGAGACAGCTGGCCAGCGAGCACACATTCGGCCTGGGCCGTGGTGTTGGCTTACAGTCTCACCCAATCCCCTGCCTGCCAAGCAGACACACAAGCCGGCCCACTCCCTCATTCAGCTAGAGATCTCCAGGACATCTGGGAGTTTGAAAGGAGAAAAGATTTGCAAAAGATTTGTGAAAGTCGATCTTTTAAAAGGGGGAAGTTGGCCGGTGCTTTAAAGACAAGTGACAAATAAAACCTCTGCCTTTATGCTGGCATTGCGTTCGGTGGTGCTGGCTGTAGTGGAGTCTAAAAGCTAGGATTTCAAGATAAACAAGGAATGGTTAAATGAATGCCGTTGATTCAGGAGTTAGTTTGACTACCACACAACATGTGACACTAACTATTTTAATAATTCTGTCTTGCTTTTTTTTTTGTAGGGAAAATGTGTAACATTAACATTGATGAATGTGCCATCAACCCCTGTCACAATGGTGGAACCTGCGTTGATGGAGTCAATGGCTTTACATGTCTGTGCAGAGAGGGGTATCGTGACACCACCTGCCAATCACAGCTCAACGAATGCCTTAGCAACCCCTGTATCCATGGACACTGTGAAGACAAAGTCAATGGGTGTGTATTATTTACATACATACACTGCCATTTGAAAGTTTGGGGACAGTACAATTTTTTAAAGAAATTAAGTTTACAGTTTAAAGTTGGTTTTTGGCATCATCATCAAGATGGCCTATTGGGTCCAATCCCACTGAAAACAAACAAACAAACTAGGGGTGCTCCGATTGATCAGCTCCCGATTTGACGACGCGCCTGCCGTGAGAGGTTTGGCATGACATGCAGCGGCAGCGTCTCAATCTCTGTCCGGTGCAGGTAAAATAATTATAATGCTGAAAGTAATGTACAATTAATATTCCTTTATTAAATAACTTACAAAGTCATTTGAAAACTTTCTGTGGGACGTAATTTCACAAATTGTGTGAGTGAATCACCGCACACTCCCTCTCTCTCTTTCCCTCTCAAAATGCGCAAATGGCTTCAAATCACCACTTCATGTCTGCACTATATGCAATGCACACTCAAAGCGCACTCACATACAGCTCACGAAATCAGGCTTGCACTGTGTGTAAGCTATTGTGCCCCATTGTAAAAACAAAAATGTACTGCATGATCAAACATTAAGGTGAGATAATTAATATATTTTTGCAAAGTGTCTAAAAAATGCCCCTCCACCCAGCAAATAATAAAAAAAAGCCCACAAGAGTCACCTAAGAGGGGAATTCCCCCATTTTCAAAAATGAAATTCAGGCCCTGAATGAATGTCTGTAAAAATCCTGATTGGAGCATATAACAGCTAAAACCAGCAAACCAGCTCAAGTCAGGTTAAGATCTGATGTTTTGTTCAGCTGGCCATCAGCTGGTCTAGATCACCTTATGACCAGCTAGGACCAGCCAGAAACCACGTAAAACCACTTTAAGATGTTTGTAATTGGTTCTTCCAGCAGTGAGAAATAACAAATGTAAAATGCAGATCTTGTTTCTTACAGATATAACTGTATTTGTGACTCCGGCTGGAGTGGTGTCAACTGTGACGTCAATAACAATGAGTGTGAGTCCAATCCCTGTATGAATGGAGGCACCTGTAAGGACATGACCAGCGGCTACGTCTGCACATGCCGCGCTGGCTTCAGCGGTTCGTATCATTCATTCTGCTAATGAACTGTAACTATGCGCTATGCTTTTTGACCACCACTCAAAATACACCATGTGATTCTGACGTTTGATTATAGGTCCCAACTGCCAAACAAATATCAATGAATGTGCCTCCAACCCTTGCTTGAATCAAGGAACCTGTATTGATGACGTGGCTGGATACAAATGCAACTGTTTGCTGCCTTACACTGGTATGAATTTAGCTTTATTCATGACATTGATTGTGATATTTTTCACTAGCATGTAGTTCCCTAGACTGTATAGGTTTTTAAACCAATTTGAGAGTTTAGGAGTTGATGAATTAAAGAAAGTCAGTAATCAATTAAATCATACAAAAGTAAAAGAAATAAATACATATATACATAAATGCTCAAAAGAATATTGAACATTTTATTATTTTACCCTTAATCAACATCAGAAAACTGTGAACAAGCAAACATGTCGTTAAATTATTGAAATATTAACTCAAAATCTCAGGTGGAATTTCAAGTACATATTTTACTTCAAAGAGATTGGAGTGACAGAAATGCCTGATGTAAACTATTTTAAGTACTGGTTATACTGTATATGCAAGATATTTTTGAGACCACGATGACATTATGACAATAGCTTTCTTTCCTGTGTTGATGTATTTCCCATTGAAACAGGAAGTTGTGGTGGGCTATTTCTTTTAAATAGCCAATACCCTTTAGTTTAAGACACAAACATGAACAATGATTCGCTAATTACAGGAAGGATTCTCATTCTAGGATGATTTTATCTAACAAAATTTCAGATATGCCTGAAAGTGCAAAATGATGTGTAAATATTTTTTGTGCATTTTCATGAAGAAACCCTTTTAAAGGGTGTTTTTTTAATTGAATCTTCTAAAGTAACTTTTGACAAATTGTAGGACCTTAAAGCTTAAAAAAGACATAAAACCTATTTATTTATTAGTTGAATATTTAAAAGCCTGAAAAACAAATCTAAGCTTTTTTACCTTTTTCATGGGGTCTTTAAATAGCTTCAGTGTGGCTGCTACTTTTTGTTAGTTTTACTATTTTTAAACCACTTTAAATTATGAGCAGTTTGTATCTTGTGAAGTTACAATTTCAAAGTCAGGAACAACAGACCCTCCTCCATCAATCTAGCCCCAAATTGTTGACAGTGGCCCCTCAAGGGCCCTGCAAGTATCTCTGTTGACAATACAGGGAAATGTGTTTTCAACAGACGACACATTCTTTCCTCTCAATGTGTTATTTGACAAAACAGATAATGATGTTCTGCTTCTGGAACAGAAATCATATTAATTCCCAGTGACTTTCTTTTTGGAAAAATCCACACAGCGTTATATCAAGAATAACAAAAACTACTCGTCTCAGGGTGGGAACAGTAGCTTGTCATGTTTCCTGTTGGCCCTACTTCCTGTCTCACAGAAACGCAAATGGCCAGACAATGGCAGGAAAACCTGCTGGCTTCCTGCAGGGGCCGGCCATCGTGGAAACAGATAGGCCAAATGTGCTTTGCTTTGCTAGGACTGACAGACTAATCTCCAACCGAGAAAAGAGGAATCAGTACAGAACCTGTACTGAAACATAGTGTCACCTTCTAAATTTAGGTCTCCTTAAGTTAGAGGATGAACGTCTCCAAAGAACATCTTGAATGCAAAAAACAATAGTAATGTTTTAATGCTTTGTTTCTTTTTGATGTTTTATCTTCCAGGCGAGAACTGTGAAACCCTGTTGGCCCCGTGCAGCCCTAAACCCTGTAAGAATGGAGGCGTATGTAAGGAGTCCGAAGACTACGAGAGCTTCTCTTGTGTGTGTCCTGAAGGATGGCAAGGTACAAAATTCACAAAACTAACAAGAAATTCTGTCCTAGCCTCAGTATTATGCACAACTATATTCATACTTCGTGCTCTCCCTCAATTGTAGGCCAAACATGTGAAGTGGACATCAACGAATGTGTCAAAAACCCTTGCCGAAATGATGCCGTCTGTCAAAACTCTATTGGCAGCTACAAATGCAGCTGCAAATCAGGCTACACGGGCCGCAACTGTGAGACAGACATTGACGATTGCAAGCCCAGTGAGTGTCCCATTTCGGCCTCATTTCAGTCTAGTTGGTCTGGTTGATGTCTAACCCCATACTTTTCCTTTAGACCCTTGCAGTAACGGTGGCTTCTGTAAAGATGCTGTGAATGCCTTCACTTGCACCTGCCTACCAGGTTTCCGGGGCAGCAAATGTGAGGAGGACATTAATGAATGTGACAGTAACCCATGTAAACATGGTGCGAACTGCACTGATTGTGTGAACAGTTACACCTGTACCTGTCCACCTGGATTCAGTGGGATTCACTGTGAGAACAACACACCTGACTGTACTGAGAGGTAACAGCTGCACTCTTATTTGTATCAGTTCTCAAGTGTAAATACTGACCTTTGACAAAATAAAATCACTGTTTTGGCTGCAACCGACAACTGTTACAATCAAGAGGCAATAAGACAAACCCATCTCCACTCTTTTAAAAACACATATCAACAAATCAGTAACAGATATGTACCACAGAACATGAAATGGGAGAAAGAACAGGGAAACTCTACAGGGGAACATAAAATACCAAATTCATTGGATAGAAACAAATTATTCCTAAATGTACTGTATTCAAAAACTGCAACATGGCAGAACACCTGACCACTGTGACCATTTCTTACTACAGCACACTACTGCTCTGAAGTTTGGAGACAGTTTTCTTTTTTCGTTTTTTGTTTTGTAAAGAAATTAATACTTTTTTTCAGCAAGGATGCATTAAATTGACAGGAAAAGGCTTTTTATTAGAAGTGACAGTAAAGACTTTTAAATAATTTCAAAATATTTCTATTTCAAATAAATGCTGTTCTTTTGAACTTTATATTTGTCAAAGAATCATAAAAAAATGTATCATGGTTTCCACTAAAATATTAAGCATCACTCAAATTTTTCAGCATTGATAATAATGAAAACAGTTTTTTGACACTGAAGACTGGAGTAATGACTACTAAAAATTCTAAAACATTAAAAAAAAATCTTATGGACTTCACATGTTTGAATGCCAGTGTACATTGTAATGTTATTCTGACATGCAAAGATAATTTAACGTTATGCCTCATAGAACATGGCTATTGATAAAGGCTAGTCTAGCCAGTCCACTGATCTGCCACATGTAGCACTTCTTCCTCTGTTGTCCATTAGTGCCCCCTCTGGTAAACATATGGCAGTGCAATCAGAGAAGCATCACAACCCATTATACTGTATATTACCTAAGAAACTAAATGATTTTAAATGAATGTATTAATTATTATTTTTGTTTTTTGTATTATTATTTTTATTTTTTCAAACAGCTCTTGTTTTAATGGTGGCACATGTGTGGATGGCATCAACAGCTTCACGTGCCTGTGCCCAGCGGGGTTCACTGGAAACTACTGCCAGCATGACATCAACGAGTGCGACTCCAGACCCTGCATGAATGGAGGCACCTGTCAGGACAGCTATGGCACATACAAGTGCACCTGCCCTCAGGGATACCATGGCCTTAACTGCCAGGTAACAAATGTGAAATGGACAAAAACTTAGTATGTATCCATCATACATATATATAGCTTATAGTGTTTCCTTGTTGATTCTGTAGTATAGTTCTAAAAACTGCTGAAAAATTCTCAAATTAAATGAACATTTATTTTACACAATATTCCCTAAAAGATATATACTAAATTTGTTTTGAATATATTTCTATTAAGTCCACTTCTTTTAAGTAGTTGATGCCAGTCATTTAAAAACGGATTAATTTATATATTGATCTATACCTGATTCACATCAGCACTTTAGGATCTTAGTAGTCGTGCTTAATCACATCTCATAGATGGACTTTTATTTTAGAAAATGCACAGGAACTTTCAAACAGTGTGTTATATTTCCTAATTGTATCAAGGTTAACTGTTATAATTTTCATAGTTAACTATGATTTTAAGGCATCATAGGCGCACTCCCAATAAATATAGATTGATCTTAATTTCTTTAATTTTAACTGAATTTCTTTATATTATAATAACTATACTAGTAACATTTATAAATAAAATGTACAAATCTATAAAAAGTTTACATATTATGTATTTTAATTATATTTAATTGTAATAATTAATTCAAATTATATAATTACAATTATAATTATATAGACACATTTCCCATTTTCTAAAATCAGTCTAATTAAAACAGACATTGTTTATGTTTGCTCTGTATTTTTATGCTTAGAGTATCACATGCTAACATCAAACTCTGTTATAGTCAATAGAATGCTTAATATAATTTAGCCTACCCACTTTTTCAGTGGCCTTGGTTCCAGAAGTATTTTTTGCATGTGAATTTTTAAAAAGTCTTCGTAAAACAGTTATAAGCTATAAACCATAAAAACCAATGCCAATAATTTAAAGACAGATTATGATATAATGATCTATGCCTAATTCATGTCAGCAATTTATGTCAAATAAAATAAAATATTTATTATATATTAAAAATATTGAAATAAAATATTTATGATCACTTAAAGAGATTTGAACTAGATGCACGAGTCTGAAATGTGAACACTGGATGAATTCTTGTCTTGCAGGAGCTGGTGAACTGGTGTAAGCCGTCTCCCTGTAAGAACGGAGGTATCTGCAGACAGAGCGGCACTAGGTACAGCTGCCAGTGTCAGACGGGCTGGACTGGTTTATACTGTGACGTCCCCAGCGTTTCCTGCGAGGTGGCCGCCAAACAGCAAGGTAGGTTTATTTGTATGTAATGTGACTAAAATATGTTTGCAGATTACCACACATTTCTGCTGGGGCTCTTCAGTGTTTTACAAATCTGCTGTGATGTTTGCTTCTTCCGCTTTTAGGTGTAGAGGTGGCCCGGCTGTGTCGTAACTCTGGCCAGTGTCTGGACGCTGGAAACACACACTATTGTCACTGTCAGGCCGGATACACAGGCAGCTACTGTGAGGAGCAGGTGGATGAATGCATTCCCAATCCTTGCCAGAATGGAGCAACCTGCACCGACTACCTGGGCGGCTATTCCTGTGAAGTAAGTAAAGAAAATCTGGTGGTTAGAGACCGAAGTGACTGTAGAAGAAGATACTTAGGTTAATGCCCGCTAAATCTCCCTTCTTTGTAAAAGAATTGCTTGTTTGGTAAAGAAGGAAGAAACTGCCAAGTAAACAGAAACAGGCTTGTTTTATGTTTGGCATTAATTTGCCTCGCTCTTTCTCTCGTTTCTTGAAGTGTGTGCCAGGTTATCATGGAGTGAACTGCTCTGATGAGATCAATGAGTGTCTGTCTCAGCCCTGCCAGAACGGAGGCACATGCATCGACCTGATCAATACCTACAAATGCTCCTGTCCCCGGGGAACACAAGGTCAGCTATCACTTCCTCCTCTGGTTTGCTCTTTTTGCCCATTCCACGCTTCATTAATTAGGTATTAACTGTTATCAGCAGGCTTAGACGTTTCTCTCTGATTGATGTAGTCATGCTTAATTACATCTCATAGATGGACTTATTTTATAAATTGGACAGAAACTTTCAAACAGTGTTATATTACCCCGTTGTATTAAAGTTAACTATCCTTTCTCTTTGTCTGTAGCTCTATGATTTTAAGGCATCATATGAACACTCCTATTGATCTTAAATTATTTAATTTTAATTTTTTTCCCCCATGTAATTAATCATGAATTATCTCAAATGAATCTAAATAAAACAAATGTTTATGTTTGCTCTGTATTTTTATGTTTAGAGTAGAGTATGTTATTGCTAGCTTAGCAACTAACATCCATCTCTATTAGAGTCAGTAGAGTGCTTTTTCAGTGGCCTTGGTTCCGGAAGGATTTTTTTTTTAAGTCTTAGTTAAAGAGTTATAAGCCATAAACTAAACAATCCAGCTACAGGATGAATCACAACATTACAAACCTTGATTGAAGCAAATAACTATTTGAAAATCTGAAAAAAAGACAAAGGTGCAAGAATGGCCAACAAGAACTTCAATCCCATGAAGCACTATGAATGAAAAAAAATAAATAAATATATATATATATATATATATATATACAACTCATGTTGTCAATATGTATATAAAAACAACCATATTTTACGTTTATTTTAAATTATGCATATATATAGCCTATACAAATATTTAAGTAGTTTAAAAAACTCTTTTGGCACAATACACTTTGCAAAATTCTCTGATTGGTGGTGATTTCTTTGCAGAATCATGGGTAATGTAGTTTTTCCAACAGGAATTCCGCTATTAAACACGTAAAAAAATATATAAATAGTTGAAATAATGCATACTGATGGCTACAACAAATAGTAACTCATAGTAAGGTCAGTTTTTAAAGGTTTATAAAGTCATTGTTAACTATGGAGAAAATGAATGGTAATTTTATTCTAATTTTACAGTAACCCAGCTGTTGCACTCTATTTTATTTAAGTCCCAAGTTTCTTCATTCCAAATTAGTCAGTTATGACTATTATGCTACCTTAGAGGACAGCTGTCTACGTAGGCAGTATTCTAGCAAGGCAGTTCACTAGGTTTTGGACAGAGCCTATTTTTACCTCTCTGCAGTAAGGGTAGCTTTTATATGACCTTTCCACTCCGCTTCTCTCTCAGGTGTGCACTGTGAAATCAACATTGACGACTGCACACCCTTTACCGACCCCATCACCCAAGAACCCAAATGCTTTAACCAGGGCCGCTGTGTGGACCGTGTGGGCGGGTACCACTGCATCTGCCTAGCCGGATATGTGGGGGAACGCTGTGAGGGTGATGTCAATGAATGCTTGTCCAACCCTTGTGACCCCCGTGGCACGCACAGCTGCATCCAGCTCACTAACAACTACCGCTGCGATTGTCGCACAGGATACACAGGTACAGCACAGGATGCTGTGGACCATTCTGCTTTGATTTAGAGAGTACCGCTACATTCTGATCATGTTGTCAAATGTGTAATAATTACCTTGTTTGTGTATCCCTACAGGTCAGCGCTGTGACAAAGTGTTTGATGGCTGTAAGGGGAAACCTTGCCGTAATGGAGGCACCTGCGCTGTGGCTAGTAACACTCCTCATGGCTTCATCTGCAAATGTCCACCGGTTAGTCATATTCTCTGATACATTTAGCTATGGTTTTCTGAACCTGCTTTGGATCGTTTTTACTGTTTTGCAATACCTCTTCTGTGTTATTTCATCTCCATCACATAGATTATGAACTAATCAATCAGGTTCTATACACATCATTTACATACATGCGGTAAATAAATAAATAAATTATATATTATTACTAATACTAATAAATTATTTAGAATTTTAAACAATTATTTCTCCTTAGCTTTTCCATTTTAGTCACAAGGCCACAAATATTCTATATAATTACATATGTCTCTTATATGTCTATATAAATTATTGTATATCATTTTCTAAAATCATTTTCATGCTAATGTTAAAATAATACTTTAATTCAGCAAGGATGCACCAAAGTGATGAAAAAAAATCTGTTCTTTTGAATTTTCTTTTCAACAAAGAAAGCTGAAAAAATGTAGTGTGGTTTGTTAAATATTAAAATATAAAAAATATTAAGCAGCAAAACTGTTTTCAACATTGATAATAATAATAATAAGTGTTTCTTGTCACCAAATCAGCATATTAGAATGATTTCTGAAGGATCATGTGACACTGAAGCCTGGAGTAATGACTGCTGAAAATTCATCTTTGCCATCAAAGGAATAAAATACATTTCAAAATATATTAAAGTACAAAACAGTTATTTAAAATTGTAAATAATTTTTTAACAATAATACTGTTTTACTGTATTTTTGTTCAAATGAATGCATTACCTATAGATTTGCTAAATATATCAGTAAACTGCGATGCATACATTTTACCACTTGTGTATGTCTCATTTAGGGTTTTACAGGCTCAACTTGTGAGTATGATGCTCATGCCTGTGGTAGTCTCCATTGTAAAAATAGCGGTACATGCATTTCTGGTTACAAGAGCCCCAAATGCCTGTGCACCCCTGCCTTCACTGGTCCTGAGTGCCAGTATCCCACTGAGGGTCACTGCACAACCAACCCATGCTACAATGGAGGCACGTGCGAGTATATCTCAGAGGCCCCATACTACCACTGCATCTGTCCTACCGGCTTCAATGGCCTCTTCTGCCACATCCTGGACTACAGCTTCCCAGGTGGCCCTGCTCGATATATCACACCTGCTCCAGAAGTGACAGTGAGATGCGAGATAGCAGAGTGTGAATACAAGAAAGGCAATAAGATCTGTGACAGCACATGTAATAATTACGCCTGCGACTGGGATGGAGGGGACTGCTCTCTGAACTTCAATGCCCCGTGGCAGAACTGTTCGGCCGCGCTGCAGTGCTGGCGCTATTTTAATAACGGGAAGTGTGATGAACAGTGTCACAATGCTGGATGCCTCTATGACGGATTTGACTGCCAGAGACTGGAGGGCCAGTGCAAGTGAGTGCTATTTGAGAATTTTTACACAAGTTTCAGGGAAGTTGCACATTTGTAATCATAGCTAAGAGTTTGAAGCTAAAATGACCAAGCTTAAGAGAAATTCTCAGGGAGTTTTAATTGGAAATCACAATTTTTAAACTCCCAGACCATTTCTCTTCAGCAGGTCTGAAAAAGTCATGGAAAATTTTCTAGTGAAGCTCAGCTCTTAAGTATTATTTTCACTAGAATCTTGTGATGATTTTTTTCCCCTAAATTTGTTTTTATTAGATTATATTTAAATTCCAGTCTTACCCGTTTTTTTTTTAAAGAATTTAACATTTCTATTGTAATTTTGACACAGCTAGAGAATTTCTGAGTGAACATTATTTGACTCATCATTATTTCGTAGAAAAATATGTAATTAGCTTTCAGCTTATAATTCAGTATGCAATAGTTTATTTAACATTGTTATTGATGAAATCCGCCTATTAGATAAACTGCTTGAGATTAAAACAAACAAAAAAACATTTTCATAACTTAAAATAAAATAAACATTTACTGAAATAAAATTTATTTTTTTACATTTCATTTCAGGCAACCTCTCTTTTTAAATTTGATGTAAAATACAAATAAAAACAGGCTTATTTAACGAAAAAAGAGAATAACAAAAACAACCAACAAAATTACTGAAACTTTAACTAAAATGAAAATGGAAAATAGAAAAATGAATGTTAATTTTATCATATTAATATCATAATTGTATAATATTAATAACAACTGTAACAGTATCTCAATTATACACGGGTCCTAGACTGGTCTAATTAGACAATGAAAAGTAAAATTATCCGATTATCTTTTAGCTAACTGCACATAATGGATGTGTTTATGCAACTGGTCCTTAATTCACTGTGGGGTAGTTCCAGAAGATGGTACCTTGGCCAAGATGGTTAACAAACCCATATTTTCGTGACGTGACATGTGGCCAAGTATGGTTATCCATACTAGGAATTAGTGCTCCGCATTTAACCCATCCTTAGTGCACACACACAGCAGTGAACACACACACACCGTGAACACACACCCGGAGCAGTGGGCAGCCATTTATGCTGCGGCGCCTGGGGAGCAGTTGGGGGTTCGGTGCCTTACTCAAGGGCACCTCAGTCGTGGTATCGAAGGTGGAAGAGAGCGCTGTACATTCACTCCGCCCACCTACAATTCCTGCCGGACCTGAGACTCGAACTCTAGCTTTGGGTTACGAGTCCGACTCTCTAACCATTAGGCCACGACTTCCCCGTAGCTTTTTAGCTCCATTAATCCAGATTGAATGCTAGTTCTAAACTCTGCTTTCCTCTCTCATAGTCCACTCTACGACCAGTATTGCAAAGACCACTATGCAGATGGCCACTGTGACCAGGGCTGCAATAATGCAGAGTGTGAATGGGACGGCCTGGACTGTGCCAGCAACATACCCGAGAAGTTAGCTGCTGGACTCCTGGTTTTGGTGGTCCACATTTTGCCTGACCAGCTCCAAAACAACTCCTTTGGATTTCTGCGGGAGCTCAGCCGAGTGCTCCACACCAACGTTGTTTTCCGGCGCGACAGCAAGGGAGAGGAAATGATCTACCCATATTATGGCAACGAGCAGGAGCTGAGAAAGCACAACATCAAACGATCACTAGATGGCTGGAGCGATGCTTCTAGCAACGTCTTGAGCTCTGTAAAAAGCATCATTTACAATATAGCGGTGGAAGGAGGGAGAAAACGCAGAGAACTGGACGAGATGCAGATCAAAGGGTATGTATGTGAAAGTTGAGCCTGTGTATGCTTTAATAATATGTTTGAATAAAAATCATGCTTTTGATTTCCATCAGCTCTGTGGTATATTTGGAGATTGACAACCGCCAATGCTACCAACAAACCTCTGAGTGCTTCCAGAGTGCAAACGATGTGGCGGCTTTCCTCGGAGCCCTGGCTTCCAGCGGCAGTCTGAATATGCCTTACGTAATCGAGGCCGTCACAAGTGAGTGTTTGGCACGAGCATTGTCGTGTGCCTCACATTCTCCCATAATGCCCTTAATCAAGACTAGGCCTCCCATCTTACTCAATGTATTCAGCACCCCCCCCCCCCAACCTTTAACCCCACCACGGATTACAGGGATCACTTTGAAGTTTCTTCCTTATAACAATGAAGCAAATGTTCTTTGTGCATTAGACAGACTAAACAATCAATGCAGCAGTCTGAGGGCAGATCCACTGGCTCCAGGCACCAAAAATAGTTAATTGATGCAAATCATGTCAACTCATTTGGCCCAACAAGACACTCTCACATACATGCATATAGCCCATTCATGGTTTGAATCTAAAATGATGGGGGCTTCTGCAACCTTAACCTTGTTGAATGTACCAGGACTTAATGCATCTCCAAGGGTTTAGGTGAGCAGAGTTTATCATTTCAAAATCGTTAGTGGAGAGAGCATGAAAAAAGAGAGGAGAAAAATTGATCGGGAGTGTGCTAGAAGTTGGGAGTCTTTGTTATCTCGAAAATCCTAATAAATCCTTCGTCTTTAAAGCTTAAAGTGTGCGCAGTAATTTGAAGTTCATTAATCCCTCCCTTTTTTCCCCTTAAAGAAGAACTGGTAAAGTTGTCTCCTGGTACCCTGGGCTGAGAAAGGGGAGAGGAGGTGTTCTTTCTTTTCTTTTTTCTGTCCTCCTCCTTTTCTTATTTGCCAGCTCCTTCTTTTTGATGAGGAGTGGTTAGCAATTCTGATTACTACGAATACGAACGTGTGCCTCGCTTTAGTTTGTCCGCCCATCTCAAGCAATTTGTGCCTCATTGTTGCATGAGGAACATATTCTTGTCCTTTCTGTGGGTTTGACATGTCAACTGTGCTTCCTGTGGCAGGTAAGATTGATGGACCGCCGGCCATAGAGCTCTATCCAGTCTACGTGGTTCTGGCAGGACTGGCACTGCTGGCCTTTGTCGCCGTGGGAATGGTCGCCTCCCGTAAACGCCGCCGCGAACACGGTCAACTCTGGTTTCCGGAGGGTTTCAAGACCAGCGAGCCCAGCAAGAAGAAGAGGAGGGAGCCGGTCGGCGAAGACTCTGTTGGTCTGAGGTCAGTCACGTTATCTTTGGGTGTCGGGTTTGAAGGGACAAACTGATGGAGGAAAACGTTTTAATTTGAAGTAATGATCATCTGTTGTTTTGAATTCATTTAAATTAATTAACTGAGTTTTAGGAAGTAGGTGGAGGTTGATCATCAATGATGGCTTTTGGTGTTGGAGAACAGTCTTTAAAGTAGTTTAGCTGGGTGATAAAAAAGTTATTTTGGCATGTCTAATGGGTTATTTTTTTGAAAACAGGCCACTTAAGAACTGTTCAGACATTTCATTAATGGATGACAACCAGAATGAATGGGGAGAAGAAGAACCATCAGACACGAAACGCTTCAGGGTGAGCAGAGCAACTCACATAGAAGCGTCTTACAATTAGTATTCTTGCATTAAGTAATACAATTAATTAAAATGTGTGTTTTCAATTTGTTAATGTCTCATTCTCAATTTTTAGTCAGAAGAGCAGGCGATGCTTGATTTAGACGATCAGCCAGATCACCGGCAGTGGACGCAGCAGCACTTGGACGCAGCCGATCTACGCATCCCATCCATCGCTCCCACACCCCCTCAGGGCGAGATAGAGAACGACTGCATGGATGTCAATGCCCGAGGACCAGGTTAGGCATTGTTGTATTCATTTTTTGTGGTAGTGGTTTTGTTATTGGCTATTGATGACTTTTAAATTACAATATAATATAAAAATGTTATATATTTAAATGTAAATTATAATATTTTAAATTTAAATTTCATTTTTCATTATATAATTTATATTAAAATATTAATATTAAAATATACAATAATGCATTTTATTCATTTAAATTAATAACTCAGATTCCAGATTTTCAAATAGTTGTATCTCGGCCCTTATGACTGGTTTTGCGGTTCAGGGTCACATATAAATCTAATATGTAAATTTAATATATAAAAATGTGGCCTCATTGACCATATAGTTATTAGGTAGATAAATAGTATATTTTGGCTGATGTTATTTTTGATTTATCTACACAGGGAAATCATTTTACTTGTCTAGTTAACAGACATAAGGAGATTTTATGAGAACTCAGCCAGCGTAAAAGGCATTCTTTGCTTATGGATTACACCTGTTCTCCGGTTTTACACACAGTGTGTGTGTGTGTGTGTGTGTGTGTGTGTGTGCTGTCGAGTGCTGGGATGAGGAACTGAATTGAGCTCTAAGTAGGCGTTAATGCTCAGGGCCCTGTGGGGAAACGAATCCACTTCAAAGGCTCTGACTGAAAGCTGTAAACCCTGGGGACTGAGCACATTTTTACCAGTCTTACTGATTCATCCTGTGATATCATTCTGCGTATATGTGTTTTGTTAATTAAAACTCTTTATGATATGCTCATTCTCTCTTTCTATAAGCACCAATATACCCCTGACAACACTTTTAAGATGGTCAAAGGCACCATTCTTTTGCTATCTCTTTGCAAGCTGTTTTTCCTTTTTTTTTCTCTCTCTTTGTGTGGATTGATGTTTTAAAATCGACCAAATCGGGACTGATCTGGGAATAGCTATTCTTTTGAAGCCGAGAAGCCCCTGTCGAAGTCAGCAAAGAAAGCAGCTTCTCTGAGGTGATAATACTCTGTTTTACCAGCAGTTGAAATTTCAAAGCATGGCCAGCGTCCCTGAGATTTACCAAACCTCCATGCTTGATTACAGTCCGTTAGCGAAGCGATCTGGGGCGATTCAGAAAGGCAGCGTGTCAAATCCAACTTCGATTTGTTTGTTTCTCTGGCATTACTTTGGTCCATCACTTTGAGGAAAACATTTTTTTAGGTTTGGGTTGCCCTCACACTAGTTCTACTCAAAGGAAAAGTTTTGCTCTTTCATTTGTCTCAGGGTTTTCTCTTCGAATTGTGTAGCAGAAATAATGATGAAAAACAGATTTTTTTTTTTTTATGATATGCTCATTCTCTCTTTCTATAAGCACCAATATACCCCTGACAACACTTTTAAGATGGTCAAAGGCACCATTCTTTTGCTATCTCTTTGCAAGCTGTTTTTCCTTTTTTTTTCTCTCTCTTTGTGTGGATTGATGTTTTAAAATCGACCAAATCGGGACTGATCTGGGAATAGCTATTCTTTTGAAGCCGAGAAGCCCCTGTCGAAGTCAGCAAAGAAAGCAGCTTCTCTGAGGTGATAATACTCTGTTTTACCAGCAGTTGAAATTTCAAAGCATGGCCAGCGTCCCTGAGATTTACCAAACCTCCATGCTTGATTACAGTCCGTTAGCGAAGCGATCTGGGGCGATTCAGAAAGGCAGCGTGTCAAATCCAACTTCGATTTGTTTGTTTCTCTGTCATTACTTTGGTCCATCACTTTGAGGAAAACATTTTTTTAGGTTTGGGTTGCCCTCACACTAGTTCTACTCAAAGGAAAAGTTTTGCTCTTTCATTTGTCTCAGGGTTTTCTCTTCGAATTGTGTAGCAGAAATAATGATGAAAAACAGATTTTTTTTTAAAATATATATATATGCTTGGAATTACAATTAATTCTGAAGAATGGTCATAAAGGAATTTAGAATTTGAAAAACGTATGTCTTCTTAGCATAAAGCTTCTGCTACATAAATGTAAACATAAAATCTTCACTCTCTTTTTCCTCTCTAGATGGCTTTACTCCACTAATGATTGCATCCTGTAGTGGAGGAGGACTAGAAACAGGAAACAGCGAGGAAGAGGAGGATGCTTCAGCCAACGTCATCAATGACTTCATCTACCAAGGTGCCAACCTTCACAACCAGACAGACCGTACGGGTGAGACCTCCCTACACCTGGCTGCCCGCTATGCCCGCTCAGATGCTGCAAAAAGGCTCCTGGAGGCCAGTGCAGATGCCAACATCCAGGACAATATGGGACGGACTCCATTACATGCTGCTGTGGCTGCAGATGCACAAGGGGTCTTCCAGGTATGTGAGCCACAATTGCATAAGAGAATACAGAGTAATATGTAGGAGGTTTAATATTGTGTATTTCCACCAATCGATGCATCATTATCTCGGTTTTCTGAAACATGTTAACTTTTGTCCTTGTGCAGATTTTGATACGGAACCGTGCCACAGACCTGGATGCCCGCATGCATGATGGCACCACACCTCTGATACTGGCAGCAAGACTTGCAGTCGAGGGCATGGTGGAGGAACTCATCAACTGCCATGCTGATGTCAATGCCATAGATGATTCTGGTATGACTATTACACTGCCATACTTCATTGATTCACTTGAATGCAGCATACACTACCAGTCAAATGTTTCTCAACGTCTTTTTTTGTGAGACGTTCTAGAAAGACGCGTTTAAACGTCTTTCTAGATGATCTGATCTAAAGGATCATTTTTAAATGCTTAAAAATAATTTTGCAGACAGAAAACCTAAGCCATGATTTCTTTAAATAAATGTTAATAATAAATTATTATTATTACATTTACAATGTAAATCAGGTGGCACATTATGTTTTTTGAGCACCAAATCAGCAGATTAGAATGATTTCTGAAGAATTATGTGACAATGAATACTGAAAAAAATGGCTGCTGAAAATTCAGCTTTGTCATCACAGGAGTAAATTACATTTTAGAATATATTGAAATAGAATTTTATGACTTTACTATTATTCTAAAATGTGGAAAATAGTAAGAATGTAGAATGTAGTAAGAATGAGTAGATTTGTTCAAACATTTCACTGGTAATGTATAATATGGTGATATTTTACTGTTAATGTATACTAGATACATTTTTAGATTAGTTACTGTTTTATCACTATTACATTTATTACTATATATTGCTATTGTTGTTTCCTCAGTGAATGTAATGGAGCACATGCTGAAGTGGTTTCTGTTTGTGCTACAGGTAAATCTGCACTTCACTGGGCAGCAGCTGTGAACAACGTAGATGCAGCGATGGTATTGCTTAAGAACGGGGCAAATAAAGATATGCAGAACAATAAGGTAAGCAGCACTTTATTTAGTTTGTATCACAAATAATGCCATGATATTTTAGACATAACACACCTCACATAATATTCGTATTAACATAAGTACAAAGACGTTTTCAAAATGCTTTTGGCTTACCAACTATTTTGCCATTCAGGAGGAGACTCCTCTATTCTTGGCGGCAAGAGAAGGAAGTTACGAGACTGCTAAAGTTCTTCTCGAGCATTTCGCTAATCGGGAGATCACAGACCATATGGATCGGCTCCCGCGGGATATCGCTCAGGACAGAATGCATCACGACATCGTGCGGCTCAACGACGAATACAACCTGGTCCGCAGCCCTCCCATGCACAGCGCCCCCCTCTGCACCACCCTCTCCCCGCCTCTCTGCTCCCCCAACACCTTCATGGGTAGCATGAAGCCCTCCGTACATAGTAAAAAAACCCGCAAGCCAAGCACAAAAGGCATCGGTTGCAAAGATATGAAAGTCAAAAGGAAGAAGGCACAGGATGGAAAGGGAAACTTACAAGACAGCTCAGCCGTGCTCTCACCTGTCGATTCGTTGGAGTCACCTCACGGGTACATATCTGACGTCGCCTCCCCACCCCTGATGACATCACCTTTCCAGCAATCACCCTCCATGTCGCTTAATCACTTACAGGGTATCTCAGACACCCACATGGGCGTCAACCACCTGGGGATGGGCAACAAGCAAGAACTGGCCCATATACAGTTCGATCCTTTACCCCCACGTCTCACCCATCTTCCAGTGACCGGATCTAACGGCTCTAACATCATGAACGGCCAATGCGAATGGCTCGGGCGGATGCACAATAGCATGGGTCTGCAAAATCAATTCGGAGCCATGAGGAACGCCTCAGGTCAGGCCAACCTTCACCAATCTGGCCTGATGACGTCTCTTCACAACGGCCGTCCCGCCACGCTGTCTCAGATGATGAACTATCAAAGCCTGCAGAACACTCACCTCACCACACAGCCGCATCTAATGATGCAGCAGAACATGCAACAGAGACAGCAGCAGACGAACGTCCAGCTGCAGCACCAGAGCTCCAATCCACCCAGCGGCGTGAGCCAAAATTTACTCGGTGGCGAATTGGGTGGACCGGAGCTCCAGCAGAGCATCCACACCATCATCCCCCAGGAGACCCAGCTGCTGAACCCATCCTCTCTGGGCTCCAGCATGGCGGGAACGCAGTTCCTGACACCACCTTCCCAGCACAGTCACTCAGCCCCAATGGACACCAACACCCCCAGCCACCAACTCCAAGGGCCTGACCACCCATTCCTCACGCCGTCTCCGGGTTCACCGGACCAGTGGTCCAGTTCATCACCTCATTCTAACATGTCTGACTGGTCGGAGGGTATTTCCAGCCCGCCCACCAGCATGCAGTCGCAAATCGGACACATACCGGAGCAGTTCAAGTAAAAACAGCCTGCTTACTGAAGGTCTTTTATATGCTCTTGTACTAACCATATATCTTTTTTATTTATTGGTATTTTGTTATTTATACTGTTTTCACCATTCATTTAGAAATTTGGGCAAAATAAATTATCTTAAAAATAATGCTATTGACCGCAATACACTGTACTCGAATGTACACACTGGGTATTTATTGGTCTTATTTCAATTGATCGGCCTTCATTTTTGTTTGATTAATTATACCTAATATTGTAAAAACGCAAAGTTCTTGTACGGGCATTTTAGCGAGCATGTTTTTATACAACAAACTTCAGTGTTAAAGTAGATTTATGTTGTTTGAACCATGCTGCTTTTCCATTATTAGAAGATGAATGATTGAATTTGTTTCATGTTTTTTCCTGATATTTGTTATGGTTAAGTTCTCATCATTTTTTTTTAATACTACAATTAAGTAGTGGTATTATAATTGAACATTTGTATAGTTCAAAGAGATTTGCTTTCTTTCTCGCTCTCTTGTATATTAAATTCCTGCAAAAGCAGATTTCTGAACGTCCGCTGTAAGTGTGGATGTGAAAGTGAGGATCTGAGCTACTTACAAGAAATGATATTGCCTTGTATGAAACAGATGCCGATATCAAGTTCTCTGTATCTTTTTCCTCCAATTTTGTAGAACTGGTCACGTGGCCAAAAGTGTCTGGGGTTTTATGGAGGTGTTTCAAATTGAACTTCTCTTTGCTGTACTTCAGTTTTGTATCTTCGTTTGAGCCTATGGCTAATGTAAATATATATATTGTATGCGTTTGTTATGTAAACAGGATTTTGTTTCAGAAATCTTAAGTGTGCCATGAAAGTTTTAAATATTTTAATGCTACGTAGTTGTTTTCTATCATATGCAGAACGTATATATTTTTCTCAGTATCACTGGGGTAGAGACTATAAGAAATGTATACACACAAATGATTAGAGGATATAACATACAGAATAACATAAGTAGATGATTTATGACTCACTATTTGTTGACCACTAATAGTTTTCCACAAAATTACAAAAATAAGGTCCCATAAAGGGATGAGGTGGTGTCATATATCCCCTTTAAGCCATCAGTACTTCCAAGTGCATCAGATTTGATACAGTGCATAGGGTAAAAACTTTGCCCAAAGTATGACTTCACATTAATAAATAGTAAAGTCAAAGGTAGTGTTTTGTAGTGCCTGTAAGACTCGGAGCAGGGCAGTGCAGGGAGGTGAATGATTGCTCAATGAAAGTCTTTTCAAGATGAATTTGTGTCAAGGTGTGATTTTCTAAATGACAGAAATTGCCATTTATATATATATATATATATATATGGAGAGAGAGAGAGAGAGAGAGAGACTAATATCTTGGGGCTGTCAAAATTAACGCGTTAATGACATACATTTTTTTGTTATTGCATAATTTTAACGGCACTCATTTTATTAATGCGTATTTTCTGTTTCAGGGTTTCCGCGGGTCCTTAAAAGTCTTAAGAGGTCTTAAAGGTGCCATAGAATGGAAAACTGTATTTACCTTGGCATAGTTGAATAATAAGAGTTCTGTACATGGAAATGACATATCGTGAGCCTCAAACACCATTCCGACATTTGCATATACACGCCCATGGTCTATGCCAGCTGCCAGCCAAACCTGCACAGCCGAATCATCAGAACTTCTGCAGGTATTGTGAAGAAACAAGTGAGGATAATAGCGAAAATGGCAAATCATGGAAATAAATTTTATGTTCCAGGCTGTGCAGGGGATGTGATGTGCAGGGATGGTTGGTGTCTGTATTCAGAAAGGCACGGAAGACAAATAATGCGTTCTAATAAAATAACTCGAGCCACTAAAGGGACATGGTTTGCTGCTTGCTAGTGGTAGCCTGTTACATTACAGTACATAAGATTTCACTTACCACATAAACAGAGTAAGGAGAGATGACTGAGGATGATGGCGAATGATTTACAGATCCTGAGCACCACTGACAAGCATCTGATCTTGTAAAATGTGTGGTAAGTACTGCCGCTGTACTTTACACAGATCACGTGCGATCGCAAATCTCGAAAGTGAAAGTAAAACGCGATAGTGCATTCGAAAGCAGTTTCAATGCCCCACATATTAATAGCGGCTCCCTGATGTCCGCATTTTATATACAGTATAATTAGCCAACTATATAACTGCGAGAAAAAGTATTGAAATATATATTTTCCCTGTGTTTCCTTCCTGCTGTGTGAGCTACTGAAATGAGCCGCACTGTGAAACAGCCAATCAGAGCAGAGCTCAACATTATTATTCATGACCCTTCCAAATAAGGTAAAAACAGACCATTTCATTCTAGGGACAAATCCTGGGGTTGTAAATGGACATGTAAAACCGTTTCTGGAGATTTTTTTGCCCTTACATAAGCCACATACCTTCTATGTAGATATCAGAGAAAATGTTTAAATATTGTATCATTGCGTTCTATGGCTCCTTTAAATTTAGTTGTATCATATTTAAGGCCATAAAAAGTCTTAAATGGTACAAGAAAGTCTTAATAATGATTTCCTTAAATTTGGGGAGGGAAAGACAAGAATTGCGATATGGCTTAATGTGACGATTTAACAATCATGCGATTATTAGGGCAATCGACTAACATTTTTAATCGCAATTAGCATGATTGTTATGAGTTAACTCGTAATTAATCGCAACTTAATCACACATTTTTATCTGTTCTAAATGTACCTTAAATTAATACTTTTCAAGTTTTTAATACTCTAATCAACATGGGCATGGACAAATATGGAGGCTTTATGCAAATGTATGTTTATTATTAGTGAAACCATACTCAACATAGAGCATAAAGAATTCAGATAGCCTACAGCTTTTCACAAAAACAAAAAGTTCTTTAAACCATTTTTAAGAAATTGAATCAAAAGTCAAAAGTATCAATTAGGCTATTATATTAGTTTAAACAATTATTATCAATTAATTATTATTATATTAATTAAATAACATATAACTATATTTTACTGGCTTAATTGTTTAGATTTTTATAATGCATTATCTTCTTATCGATCTACCAGTTCACATTTACAACTATGTGTTTGCTGCATAAAAACATGGGTGGATGTTCGCATTGGTCTGAACAAAAACAGCAGACAGGTTGAAAATGCAAATTCATTCCCTGCCAGCAGATGGCGCTGTATGAACGGCAGAAATAGCGGTTTCTCGGACTGTAAACAAAGCAGTGCAGCAGCTGACTTTGAAACAGTCAGCTCTCATATTTATTCGATGAAATCATGGCCTTTTGAAGTTAAATCGTCACATTAAGCCATATTGCAATTCTTGTCTTTCCCTCCCCAAATTTAAGACCTCTTGAAATCATAATTAAGACTTTCTTGTACCATTTAAAACTTTTTGTGGCCTTAAATATGACACAACTAAATTTAAAGGGGTCATATGATGCTATTTCAATTTTTCCTTTCTCTTTGAAGTGTTACAAGCTCTTGGTGCATAAAGAAGATCTGTAAAGTTGCAAAGACTAAAGTCTCAAATCCAAAGAGATATTCTTTATAAAAGTTAAGAGTCAACCAGGCCTACCTAAAACGGCTCGTTCTAACACGCCCCCACATGTATACGTCACGATGTGGGAAGATTTGCATAACGCCGCCCAAATGTTCACGCAAAGAAAGAAGGTGTAACTTTTATTCTCGCTGTAGTATTGTTGCTGCTGCCTTGTCGTGAAGGCGCTGTGTGTTTCGTTGTGAAAGTGAAACTACTTTGTTTGGCCTTCCAAAAGAGGACGATATCTGCTTCGTCATGCCTGGAGCTGATCCGTGCTGGTCGCTGAGGGAATACATCAACTTCGCGCTGTGGATCGCCGTATCGGCTTTCACCGTGGACGAAGCGGAGTCCAGCCCGAGGTCGTCACATGTGGTTGCCGCAAGACTGCTGGCCGCTCCTTCGTCGAAGACACCAGCAGCGCCGTTCTCAAGCCCGCCCGCCACCGCTCACTCTAGCCCACTGTGTGTTTCGTTGTGAAAGCGAAACTACTTTGTCTGGTCTTCCAAAAGAGGACACGACTACAAATCAGTGGTTAAGTTTTGTATGTACGGGTATATTATGTGCAAATTTGAGGTGTTCATTCAGATCGTCTGCCAGTTGTTGATTCTCCACAGTGCTGGGGGATGGTGTCTTGTAGTTGGTGATCTCTTTCAGACTTTTCCACAATGATGCCGAGTCGCTGGAAGTGAATGGATCTGTATTTTGGCAGTTCACGGGAGAGATTTGCTTTATTAAAGTCTCCAAGAATGATTAAAACAGAGTCCGGGTGTTGTTGCTCTGTCTCTGTGATCTGATCATCTAGTTGTTGTAAAGCCGAGCTCACATGCGCTTGAGGAGGAATGTAAACACTGACAAGAATGAATGAGCAAAACTCCCGCAGCGAGTAGAAAGGAATATCAAATAATGTATATAAAATTGTATAACTGAATGATATGAATGATATGTATTTGAATTATATAACTAAAATTAAATAACTGTAATAACACATTTAGGTTCAATAAAGATGTCAGTCTTTATTTTTCTTCTTTTTAGGGCAGCAGTAGTTCTAGCAGTAAATCAACCATCCACATCAAAAGCTGCAGGACAGCCCACAATTCAGCAAACTTTTCAGAAACAAATCAAAGAAAAAATAAACAAATACTACTGTTCCAATTGCAGAGTGAATGCAAATGTATATCAGAATCTCCTGCGGCAACATGCAGTTCCTTCCTGCAAGCATCTCCCAATCAGCCTGGAATTTTCATGCAAGACAATGCTTGCTGTCACGCAGCAAAATGGGTAAAGCAGTTCCTTGAAGCTAAGAACACTGAAATAATGAAATGGCCTGCCGAGAGTCCTGATCTAAACCCAATTGAAAATCTCTGGAAAATCCTTGGCAACAAAGTTATTGTCAAGAAAGCCACTACAGTTACCGGACAATGGAAGAGACTGGAAGAAGATTGGACCAAGATAACACCGGCGCAGTGTGAGAAACTAGAGATGTCCTGCAGCCGCAGATGTGCTGAAGTCATTCAAACCAAGGGCCTGCAAAATTCCTACTTTATTTTTGACAACTGTAACCCTCCAAAATTTTAGTAGTAATCTTCTCTCTTGCTACAGTGGTTACTGTTATCTAATTTTCCACAGTATGTATGTATATTAGGCATGGCCGGTATGAGATTTTGACAGTATAATAACCTTAAGCAAAAATATTTTTGTTATATTTGTTGCTTCCGAAGAGCAGTTTTGAAAACTTTTGAACAGGATGAAGATGTACAAATTTTTCTTATTTTGTTGAAATATCATTCATATATTATATGACCCCCCCCCATTTAGTACTGCCCTTCGGAAGCAACAGAAGATACTTGCATGTTTCCTGGAAGACAAATTAAGTTTTTGATGCTCTTAATGCATCGTTGTTTCCTTCTGGAGCATTAGTGAATGTTTGAACCTTTTTTAATAGTTGTGTTTGAGTCCCTCAATTGTCCTCAGTGTGAAAAGATGGATCTCAAAATCATACAGTCACTGCTAAAAAGGGTTCAAATATGCAAAATATGCTGGAAAACTGAAGAATCTGCAGGATGATTTTTCTGAAGAACAGAGCTCAGTTTAAATGTTCAGAACAAACAAGGGACTCATGAACAACCATCACAAAACAGAAAAACAGTCATGGATCATCCAGGTGACCACACACATTATTAAAGGGGTCATATGATGCGATTTCAAGTTTTTCTTTCT